CTCCTAGAAGGGCAGTGCTGGGCGAGGGTCTCCCAGGGCGGGGCAAGCACTTCGGTGTGGGTGGGGGGAGCAGCGGAGGGAGGGGGCAGGTGCAGGGGCCACGGGCCTCAGCGAGCTGTTATGTCTCAGACCCTCATCTTCCGTTACACGTCATGCGTGATGACATGGGATGGGAGCAGTGGGATCAGCAGGTGTGGGCTGCAGGTCCACATGCTCTGGATGGCGCCTACAGGTCCCTGTGTGTCCCCTGTGTCCCGAAGGCTGGCAGGAAGGACATGCTTTATGTTTATCTTATCTATACTGATAAAATGGTAATATGCAAGTTGGTCACAACACCCTCACAGTAACAACCAAACAGCACGCTGCATGGTTCAACCAGGCCGGCAGAGGGGGCAGTTAGGGGTGACCAGGCAGGCAGGCAGGTGAGCAGTTAGGAGCCAGGGGATGCAGATTGTGAGAGGGATGTCCGACTGCCAGAAACCAGCAGTGGGTCATCCCCTGGGGGGTCCCGGGTTGGCGAAGTTCCAGGCTGGGCTGAGGGGACCCCTTCCCCCCTCGCCCCATGCACAGTTTTCGTGCACCGGGCCTCTAGTTTCAGCATAAATGAGACGGACGTTGCTTATCTGGCTGGGGTCACAGAGAGCTCTCGCTTCCTCTCTGAGTTCACATGTGAGCGACGCCTGTGTGAGCTGTTCCAGCACCTTCCTGAGCTGCCACCACGTCCCGAGCAGTGCGGGCGACGTGTGTATGCCCATGTGTTCATCCTGCTCCCAGAATGTGAGGTCATCGCCACTTGTCTTAGAGTCTTTTAATCCCTGAAGATAGAAACCCTGTCTACACTAGTGCTTGCTTTGAATATGTTATGTAAACATTACACTACCATAAAACAGCTCAAGTGAAGTTACGTTGTAAGGAGCCGTGTTTCTCTGAGTCACTGTGAACACCACCTCCCCATCTTTTCCTTTGAGCCCTAGCTTCGGCCTGTCTTCCCACGTGGCCAGTTTCTTCATGGAGCTGGGTAGCCCCTGCTCCCCTGGCCTGGCCGGACCTCCCAGCCCCCCTGCTGCTCAGCCGGGCGCCCAGGCCTGCAGCTCACAGTCTTTCCATCTGTCCCATCTGCTTTCTGGTTTAGGCCTTGGTTTCCAGGGTGGCCTGTGCCGGGACCCTGGGTGGGCTGGCGGAGGAGGCTGACTACATGCCTTAGGTCCCAGATCTGGCCAGCAGAGCACGCCCCATCGTCCTGCCAGTTCCTCAGCAGCCAGGCCCTCCCTGGTCAGTGTTTTCACCAAAGACCAGACCCTCTGGACACCACCGCCCATCGCTGCCCGTGAGACGGGGAGCTGGTCCACAGCCCTGCCTGGGCCTCCATAGGCCATCAGCACAGAAGCCTCTGCTCCCTCCTCTCTCTTCCCTCCTTCTTCCCTCCTCCTCCCTCCCTGATCGCCCTTCCCGCTTCCTCCTTCTCCCTCCCTCCTCCCTCCTCCCTCCTCCTTCCCCCCTCCCCTCTCTTCTCCCCCCCTCCCTTCTCATCGGCCAGCAGGGGCATATGGCCACTTTATACGCACCGGCAAAGAGTGCCTGTAAGTTAGATGGAAAACATGACATTTTTACTCCAAAGAATCCACACGCCTCGTGGACCCACAGGGTGCCTCGCTGTCCTCAGTGAGTCACCCAGCACGTCCTGTGGCTTCTCAGTGAGGAGTCATTGCGTGTTTTGGGGAACTGAGTGTCCCTGCCATTCGGTTCCTGTTCGTGAAGGCACGTCTCCCGGTGGCAGTCACCACGTCGGGGACAGATTTGTCGGGGGCTTTGCCCTGGGCACCCAGTGATCTGTGTTATGAGTGAGAGAACCGCAGGCCTTCGGAACGATGGGAGGAAAACAATAACGTACGCGACATTGCAGACCCGTCCAAACAGTAACGGTGCTTCCTCGTCTGTGGCTGACCAGTTTCAGAGCAAAGACCGACATTCACGAACATTCGTATTGATGACCCATTTCCACGTTTTTCTGTTCTCTGCCTGTCGGGGTGTCTGTCTCGTGCTGAGCTGAGTCTGTAGTGCTCTCCTCTGCCTTTGCTGGGCAGGGGGACAGAGCAGCAGTGACTGTGTCAGCACCGGTCATCGCGGCCAGACAGGGGGAGCCAGGGAGCCAGGGACCTGTGACGCCGGGCGGTGACAGAGGGGCCCTCCGTGCGGTGCAGCCACGGCGTTGGCTGTGAGCGGCACCGGTCGGTGATGTGTGCGCCATGCTGAGCAGGGGTTCCGTCTTCCCTGAGGTCCCGTCCGCTCTCCCCGCTCAGCCAGCTCTCCACGGCGCTGTCGGAGGAAGCCGGTGCCCCTTAGACAGGCTGGTGTCTCTCGGGTTGACGACAGGAGGAGAAGGTGCCGCTTTGCAGGCTGAGGCCTCAGCAGGACAGTCGCCACCGTTTCATTCCCATGGAAACTCAAATAGAAGAAGATGGTGCTGGGAGGAGGATTTGAACGGGCCGCACAGGCTGGTCAGAGGCTGGGATGGTCCCGGGTCCCGGGTCCTGAGAGGAGCTTTGTCTGCTTTGTTTGTGAGACTTTAAAAGGCCCACGTGCTGCCTTGGGGTTCGGAATTGGATGGAAATAGGCGGATGGAGATGTGAGCCAAGCTGTCTGTCCGGAGGGCGTGGGCTGGTGTCTCTGGAGGAGGGGGCTGCTGAGATGCTCTCTGGGCGTCTCCGTCTCCAATGGATTTCCCGGAGCAGAGAGCTGCGCGGCAGGAAGATCTTTTCCCGGGAGTTCTTCCTGGGAGAACAAGCCCTGGGAGCAGATCACCCAACGGCTGGTGTGGCCCATGAGACGGCCTGAGGCCCTGCAGGGTCTGACCTCGGCCGGTCCTTCTGGTCTCGGGGCCCACCACCTTCTCCAAGCCCCTTCATTCTAGCCGGGCCTCGAGGCCGTTCCTGGGACAGGGCCTTTCTACCTGCCTTCCCTCTGCTCCCTGCCGGCTTCTGCCTGCCCTCCACGGGGGCGCCCTCCCTTCAGAGCCGTCCCGGTCCCGGTCCCGGTCACCTGCTCGGACAGGCCCTCCCTCCCTCCGCTGGGTCTGCTCTGCGGGTGGGAGCGCCCCTCCCAGGGCTGCGTCTGTGCTGGTTCCCCGGCCGTGTTCGCGGAGGGTCCCGGCTGTAGCAAGTTCCCAGCTCCTGGTGGACACTCACATGTCTGTGGAATGAAGAACGACTGTCCACACGTATCATTGAAATGTGTTCATTGGCTAGTTCTGCTCCTCCTGACACAGTGGGATCAGACACCCCGGAACCGGTTCTCCTGGCCCACGTCTGTGAAGACGAACTTCCCAAGCTCTGCTCCCAGCGCCGGGCCTGGAGAGCTCGCCGCCCGCTCCGTGTCCTCCCGCCTGGAGGCTGCTGCATGTCCACACGGAGCGCATGTTTTACGCGGCAGAGCATGTGCCCAGAACTGCACAGCCAGGTTCTGGAGAAGCTAGATTTGAACAACCGGCATTCCAGAAGGTTCAGTGGCGTGCCTGCTCCTGTGGCTGCTTCCGCCCACCAGCGGAAAGCTGAGGAGGCCCGGTGGGGAGGGCACAAAACCGAAAGCCAGCCTCCTGTCCTCAGCGAGCCATGCGAGAGGCAGGGGAAGGCCGAGGGACTGGCTTGTCCCCTGCTGGGTCACGTGGGAAGTGATGGCTGGAGGGCGGGTCCCGGCAAGGCCAGCAGCTCCTCAGGGAAGGGAGGCAGGAAGCAGGTGTGGAGAGGAATGGGAAGGGTGGTTCCAGCTCCCCATCTGCCAACGGGGGAGCCGAGCGCCACCCCCTCTCCTGTAGAGCAGAGAGGTGGGCTGCTGTACGGTTCTCCCTCCACAACTGCCGTTGTGACACCCCCACTGAGCTGGTGGGGCTCCGTGGTGGAGCATCGACCTATGACCCAGGAGGTCACGGTTCGATTCCTGGTCAGGGCACATGCCCGGGTTGTGGGCTCCATCGCCAGAGGGGGGCATGTAGGAGGCAGCCGATGAATGAGTCTCTCTCATCATTGATGTTTCTGTCTGTCTCACTTCCTCTCTGACTTCAATAAAATGTATTTTTTAAAAAGACAAACGGAGGAATAGATCACCTGGACTGGACGAGAGCTGCCGGCATGGTGATCCTGAGAGCTGATGATGCTGCAAGTCAGCTGGAAGCCGCCTGAGGGAGCAGGGGCCGGTTGGCTTGAGTGTGTGTGTGTGTATATGTGTGTGTGTGTGCGCGCACACACATTTGTGTGTGTGTTTCGTGTGTATATATGTGATGTGTGTATGTGTGTGCGTTTGTGTGTGGTATGTGTTGTGTGTTTGTGTGTATTGTGTGTTTGTGTGTATATGTGTGTGCGTTTCTGTGTGTGTGTGCGTGTTTCTCTGTGTGTATGTGATGTGTGTGAGTGTGTCTGTGCGCGCGTTTCTATGTGTGCATGTGATGTGAGTGAGTGTGTGTGTGTGCGCGCGTTTCTGTGTGTGTATGTGATGTGTGTGAGTGTATGTGTATGTGATGTGTGTGTGTGCGCGCGCGTTTCTGTGTGTGTATGTGATGTGCGTGTGTGTGAGTGTGTTTCTGTGTGTGTATGTGATGTGTGTGAGTGTATGTGTATGTGATGTGTGTGTGTGTGTGCGCGCGCACATTTCTGTGTGTGTATGTGATGTGTGTGAGTGTATGTGATGTGAGTGAGTGTGTGTGTGTGAGGAAGTGTGTGTGTGAGTGTGTGTGCATTTCTGTGTGTGTATGTGGTGTGTGTGTATGTGAGTGAGTGTGTGTGAGTGAGTGTGTATGTGATGTGTGTGAGTGTGTGTGTGTGAGTGAGTGTGTATGTGATGTGTGTGTGTGTGTGTGTGTGTGTGTGTGTACGGAAAAGCGGGGTGCTCACCGCCGTCTGCTCCACGCCTGCCAGCAGGAGAGGCGCCCTCTTTGGATAACACGTCGCGTCCTGCCCCACGTGCGTGCATATGCTGACGCTGCCCGTGACCGCTCCTCTGTGTTGCAGGTCCGCGGGAGCCGGGGCGAGGTCCTGTACGTGCTGGACGCCACCAACCCGCGCCACGCCAACTGGCTGCGCTTCGTGCACGAGGCCCCGTCGCAGGAGCAGAAGAACCTGGCCGCCATCCAGGTGAGCCTGAGCACGTCACTGGGCGGGTGGGGGTCCCCGAGGGCCGGCTCCTTCCCACTGGGCTGCGTGTGCTCGGAGCTCCGCGAGGGCCCGCTCCTTCCCGCCGGGCTGCGTGTGCTCGGAGCTCCAGGAGGGCCTGCTCCTTCCCGCCGGGCTGCGTGTGCTCGGCGGGCCCCAGGGCTCAGCGAGGACCCGCTCCTTCCCGCCAGGCTGTGTGCGCTCGGCTATCCCGGGGCTCAGCGAGGGCCGGCTCCTTCACGCCGGGCTGCATGTGCTCGGCGGGCCCCGGGGCTCAGCAAGGACCCGCTCCTTCACGCTGGGCTGCGTGTGCTCGGAGCTCCGAGAGGGCCGGCTCCTTCACGCTGGGCTGCGTGTGCTCGGAGCTCCAGGAGGGCCCGCTCCTTCCCGCCGGGCTGCGTGTGCTCGGAGCTCCGAGAGGGCCCGCTCCTTCCCGCCGGGCTGCGTGTGCTCGGAGCTCCGAGAGGGCCCGCTCCTTCCCGCCGGGCTGCGTGTGCTCGGAGCTCCGAGAGGGCCCGCTCCTTCCCGCCGGGCTGCGTGTGCTCGGCGGGCCCCGGGGCTCAGCAAGGACCCGCTCCTTCACGCAGGGCTGCGTGCGCTCGGCGGGCCCTGGGGCCTGCCTCCAGCTCAGCGGGAACTCTAAATCAGAGCAGGCATGTGCAGGGCGGGCACGCCGCAGCGACCTACCTCCCCCCCCCCCCCCCCCGCCACTCGTTCTGTGGACCCCGGGGGGGGGGAGGGATGGAGTGGGGGATGAGTTATCTGCTCTGATATTGTCCTGGCGGCTCCTGCTGTCAAGGTGGCCGATTCACCAGGGATGTTTGCTGGTCGGTGTTTAATTTGACGGCGCATTTGGCTCCGAGCATGGTCGTCTGTTGTTTGGGAAAGGCTTCCTGGAGGAAGTGTACTGGGGCGGCCCACGGCTCTGAACTTCTCAGGCTGGTGTGTGAGTCAGGGCGCTCCAGAGAAACAGCCAGGAGGGGGTATAGCCGTGTGTCTCTCTGTCTGTCTGTCTGCCTAACTTCCTACCTTCCTGCCCAGAGACAGAGAGAGGCACAGAGATTGGTTATAGGGAACTGGCTTGTGGGGGAAAGAAGCTGGCAAGACCCACCTCTGCAGAGGCCATGTCCAGAGGCCACAGGCTGCTCCGAAACCCGGGGGGCCGACGCCTCACCATCGGTGTCCGGCCGGAAGGGCAGGTGTCCCCTGGCGGAAGGTCAGGGCGGGAGAATTCTCCTTATGGGGGAGGAGCACCCTTCTGTTCCACGCAGGCCATTCACAGATCGGACAGGGCCCAGCCACGCTGTGGAGGGCAGTCTGCACTGTTCACCTTTACCTCCATCTGCTGACACGTCAGGCTCATGCAAAACGCCCCAGGGAACGTGTGGGCAGCTGCCCGGCACCCCGAGACCCACTCAGGGTGACAGGGTAAAATAGCCGTCCCGGGAGGGAGCCCGGCTTTCGCGTTCTGTATTCCTGTCTTCTGACTTCGTGCTGCCTACAGGTTTAGGCTCCGATGCAGACTAGAGGTGGACTCGGGCGATAAAGAGAATAAGGAAATGTTCTGCTGAGAAACAGACTGATCACACGTGAAAACCCAGCCCCGGACTTAAACTGCCGAGGAGAGAAGGGAGAGTCAGGGACCCAGCATTCCGCTGAGTATTCACCCTCTGTGAAGTTCTAGAAGCTTCATACACATCAGGTCACTTATTCATACAATTCCCGAGACTTTAGTACTTTGCTGAGCATCATGTTGATGTCAGTCAGTTCTGAGTATAAAGCCAACAGTGGCAAGAGGCAGAAAGCACAGAATTAGGTTGTAAATTTACCAAAGACACAGTCCCGGAGAAATTTAATTTCCTGATGTCATCGGCGGTCCACGTGTTTTCAATACAAATGAGTGTTGGATAACCGATGTGATTACTGTCTCATTTTTTGTGGAAAAATGAGAGATGCCTCTTCCCAGAGGGCTGGCTTGGGTGGAAAACGGGATCTTTTGGCAGCCAGATATATTCAGTCCACTTTTAAAATTATTTATGACACACATTAATCCAACTGATCCAGCCAACGATGGAGACGGATCTTTTCTTAATGTGAAGACATTCATTTCTTTCAAGGACCTTATCTGCTTTTGTAGTTCCCTGAGGCAAACTCATATCACAAGGTCTCAGTCCCGTCATCATTTTAATTTATAGACTCTGCCTGGATTTCAATGGTACTAATTTCAGGACTGCCTACAGAGCTATGACATGTACTTTGCTCTCCTGTTGTCTTGTATGTTCTTTATTATTGGGTTTTAGATAATATTCTTCTCAAATTAGATTCTTTTCTCCTTATGCTTTTAAGCTTTCCTCAAGTTCCTTCAGTGGAGGAATTGTTTCCTCTTTCCTGCTTTTTGTGTTTGTTTGCTTGTTGGTCCTTCAGCATCAGTAGCTCTCTCCATTGCCTCGGTATTTCAGGGCGTCACCCGCTGAGCTGTGAGCTCCATGTGAGAACCCTGCGGCTATCCTTGCTCCCCCCCTGCATTTTCCTTAGAGTGAGCGGTCCCTGTAGCTAATGGGATGCTCTGTCCATACGTGTTCGTCTCCATCTTTTATTTCCCACAGCTGCCCCTCTCTGCTCCTGTTATCCTACAGGTCTCTCTCTTAAAAAAAACAATAAAAAAATTTATTATTTTTAAATCCTCACCCGAGGATTTACTCATTGAGTTTAGAAAGAGAGGAAGGGAGAGAGAGAAACATAGATGTGAGACAGAAATATCTATCAGTTGCCTCCAGTAAAATGTTCCCCGACTGGGGAATCAACCCCCCAACCTAGTGGGTATGTGCCCTGAGTGGGAATCGAACCCACAACCTTTTGATGTACGGATGATGCTCCAACAGCTGAGCCACTGAGACCAACGGAGCCCGGGCTGTGGCAGGTCTCTCTGTGAGTAAGTGGCTTTCCAGACCGACACCATGCCCCTGCCTGTTCCGTGCACCCGGTAGTGCTTTCTTCCTCTGTATCAGTGGTGTTTCTTTTCTCAGAGGAAACAGGATCTACAGAAGCCGACCCTCCCACTGTCCGTGCTCCAGGAGGGGACCGCTCACCCTCACAAGGTGGGCGGGGTCAGAATGGGCCGCAGACCGGCCAGCGGCTCTGGGACGCTTCAGCCTGAGCCCAGTTAGACTCTGCGTCTGTGTGTCTGGTTCGCTCCCCAGGTGGTGTTTTCCTGCCTGAACAGTAGCTGGAGGGCCAGATCCCTCCGGGCTCAAATTCGCACCCGCCCTCTGGGGGGAGAGCGGGAAGCTGGGGTTCCGTGGCTGACGGTGGCCAGCCTCCCGGTGGGTGGGGGCAGCTTCCTGGGGAGTGCATGCCAGAAACACGGACGTGGTAAGAGGAGCCCATGTCCTGCATAACATTATGAATCCCCTACACTCCAAATTGCATCTGAGACTTGGGGGCACTCGGGAAATTTTTTATTTGAGCTGTACGTCCCCGGAGTGGCGTAAATAAGAACCGTTTGTGGCTTTCGTGGTGGGAAACGTCAGTACTTGGTCCAATTTTTTTGGATGAGGGATTACGAATCTGAGGTCTGTTTTCATGGAGGATTGGAACTTTTTTGTGGAGATTCGATTATATTTCTCGTTTTGTAATTTATTGGAATTTTTGGAAAAATTGCTTTGGAAATGATGGTTTAAAATATCTGAGTTATTGAAGAAGGATCATGTAGGCAAATAGTTCTTTCCACAGGCACACATTTTAGAGTAATTTAGGGGAACTGCTTGTTCAGACTTCTGAAAACCATGTCCCAGTAAGCCACAGAATTCTGAATATGAAAGATGTGGCTTAAAATGAACCAAAGGAATCCTGAAGCTCTACAAGAAATGGGCAATTCTTAGCTGTTAATTTTGTAGCACCGAGGGGGAGACATGTATATATAATACTTGAAAAATTAGTTGACCTCAGTGTTTTTGCAAGCTTTCAAAAAGTTTTTGTGGTAGAAAACTCTTTGTTGAAGCACAGAATGAGGTCACTTCACGTTGGCACTTGGAATTCCTTGGACATCGCAGAGAAAATCTTACCTCTCGTGCTCTCTGGGATGTGGTTTCCTTCATCCTCCGGGACCGAAGGAAATGAAAGGCGCTGGGTGTTCTCCAAAGAGCCGCCTCAGAGCCCGGCCGGGGGCTCTCCTCCCGGGGGTCAGGGGCAGCCTGAGGGGGCCAGAGGGCACTGGGCCTTGAGCTGAGTGTGTGGTATCGACACGGCTCCGCCTCAGTTCTGAAGTCGGATGGGGTCCCCGTAACTGGGAGACAGACTCGATGACTTAGCAGCTGCCCTCCGGGCCCTGCCAGTTCGAGAAGAGACTCCGGCAGTGTTCCCAGAGCCTTCGCATGGCAGAGCCGGAGAGACTGTCTCCAATCGGCAGCGGTGTGGACGCGTGAGCCCGATAGGACCGTCTCCTGTGCCATCAGCCCTGGGTGCTGGCGGGCCGCTCACGCTGACGCAGAGTCCGGGGTCAGTGGTACCGACACGGGCCACACAGCCAGCCAGCAGAAAGGAATACGGGACAGCCCACATTGTATTGTAGTTCCTCCAATTGCTTTTTTCTGTTTGTTTCTTGTCAGGTTCACACAAGTGAATTTCTACAATATTTTCCAGGCTGTCTGTTATAAAATAGTGAGGGGCCAGGGCCACGTATTTTCTCCCATGGCACCCTCACACATCCGTCAGGAGCTGGCCCATCTGTGCATTAAGGGGTTACTTCCAGCGAGGGGCGGGCTTGTCTTCCGAGGGCGAGCATTTGAACTGGAGTTCTGTGAACGCTCGAGGGGACACGTCCCCTGGGCCTGTCCTGACCCGCCCCTTCGCTCACACCCCCATACACTGTCAGGAAGTGGGGGCTTCCTTCTCCGGCACGAATCTGTTACCGCTCAGCGCCTTCTCCGTTCCCTGCGGCAGCCCTACCCAGCGGCCGATGGCCCCAGGCTCCCAGCTGTAAGCTCCAAGGGGATCTTACTGAGCGTGTGTCCTGACGGGCTGGCACTCCAGTTCTGCGTTCATGGCTCGCCTTCCCGACCCCTCTGAGCGGCGGGCACGGGGGTGGCTTCTGCTGTGGGACAATGGTCACGCTGTTCCCTGCCCCAGGACGTCACCTTCTGGGACGTGAGCGATGCCGCTGGTCACAGGAACGGCGTGACAGAAGCACAGGAATCCACGATCGCTCCAGCTGGAGCTGAGGCCTCGCGAGCTTCTCTGAAGCACCACGTGGGCTTAGGGGGTCAGAGGGTGTCACGGAGCAGGGTCAGAGCCGAGGGCTTGCCGCGGTGCCTCTGTGATCGCATGCGCCCGGGCTGTGAGTGGGCAGACGGCACGGGAGGCAGGGTCACCTGAAGGCCATTGGGACGCCAGGACCACGCGGTTCAGGCTGCAGGGTCCACTTGCTGAGCCACAGGAGGCCTCTCTGGGGACAGGGCTGCTCTGTGTATTGAGAGCCCCGAGCTGGGGCTGCAGAGGGGCAGGAGCCTGCCAGCACTACTGGCAGAGGCCGTGAGGGGGGGTATATATATATATATATATACACAAATAAACATATATAGTATACAGTTTTTCCATAGATATTACATTTAATAAATATTCTAAAACCAATTATTAGACATTTTATCTTTCTAATTTACATCGTTGGACATTTAAGCTGTTTTAACTTTAAAATATATACACACTGAGTGGCCAGATTATGATGATCTCTGAATGCATAATAATCTGGCCACTCAGTGTATATCCTATATAATAAAAGGCTAATATGCAAATTGTCCCCTCAACCAGGAGTTCGACCAGCAGGGAAGCCAGCCAACTGCCCATGTCCCCTCGCCCTGGCCAGGCTGACTGGACCCCACCCATGCACGGATTCATGCACCGGGCCTCTAATATATGTATACACACTGAGTAGCCAGATTCTTATGCATTCAGAGATCATAGTAATCTGGCCACTCAGTGTATGTGTATATATTGATTTCAGAGAGGAAGGGAGAGGGAGGGAGGGAAAGAGGGAGGAAGAGAGAGAGAGAGAGAGGGAGGGAGAGAGGGAGAGAGAGAGAAACATCAGTGATGAGAGAGAAACTTTAGATGATGCCTCCTTCATGTCCCCTCGTGGGGATCAGGCCTGCAGCCGGTGACGTGCCCTTGACTGAGAATCGAACCGAGACCTCCTGGTTCCTAGGTTGACACTCAACCACTGAGCCAAGCCCTCTGGGCAAGCTCTTGTGCCTTTTTGGTGTAACGAGCGACACAGAGTTTTCAGAGAAAGCATGTTCAACGGAATCACCCTGGGCCGGTGACAGGAAACCAGCAGTACCGGGAGGCGGCCAGCCCGAGAGGCGCCACGCAGGAGGGACTGTACGGAGGGAGGGACCGTGTACGGGGCAGGGCCAGCGACCCCAGCGACCTCAGTGACCCCGGTGACCGGCCGCGGTGGCTGAGATCCAGTGAACGTGGGGTCTTCAGGGAGTGAGTGGCCAGGCTGAGGCCGGCAGGGAGGTGCTGCTGAGGCGGAGGCCGGGCCAGCGGGCCTGGTTCCTTGCCTGGCAGCGGGGCCGGGAGGAGCAGCGGGTGTGGAAATCACCGGTGTCCAGAGGCCAGGCCTCTGGCAGGCGCCCCGGGAGGCCCTGCACAAGGAGGAGAAAGCCATGATGGTGGTGGAGGGATCATTCCCTTCATTGTAGGCAAGGGAGCCAGCGAGTTGCTGGGCAGCCAGCGAGAGGAAGAGCTCCTGGCGGCCGCGGTGGAGGAGCTGTCAGACAGCTCCCTGAAGGGAACTGCTGGAGTCACCGCGGAGGGACTGCCGCCTCCCGGGCCGTGGCTCCAGGAAGACCTGCCGGGAAGACCTGCGCGGTTCCCTGAGCTGCGGCGCTGCCACAGCTGATGAACGTGGCATTTCCTGCCGCTCTCAGATTCGCTCTCAGAGCCCCGGGCGGTCAGGCTGTGTCCGGTGATTCGTTTCAGTCTGTGTTTCATCTTCAAAATTAAAAATCACTATCTTTCTCGGCGCTGTGAAGGCCGGCACCACGCTCATGACTAATGTGCTCGCCGGACAATGACTAACGAGCGTTCGTGGGTGCTGATGAGATAAGACTGAGACTCAGGCTGCTCTGGAGGCTGCACTGGGTGCGTCCCGCTTGCTCTGGGGAACTCACAGCAAGCGGCTCACGCATCCCGGACTGACTGCTGGGCGTGAATTGGACACGGGCCGCTCGGCTGCGTGTCCACGTTGGCGTGAACCGGTGTAGCTGCACGCACGGTGATGGCGTGTGGGAGCGGGTTCGGGGTCCGCGATCAGACCTCACTGTTAAGTTCCTGGGGCACGGGACCCAGACCTCCCGGGAACCTCCAGTCCTGTGGGCGCCTTCTGGGAGCCGTGGCCAGGGGTCAGGTTCGCTCCGGCTTTGACCTTTGAACCCAGGCTCCCGTGTGTGGTATCTGATGAGCACAACCATCTTTTCCCCCTTCCAAGGCATTTTTCTAATACATTTTGTTTTTAAAATTACAAAGTAACCTGTTTGTGGAGGAAAAATCTAAAAGAGCATTGAGTATGGACTCCCCTTCTCCCAACCAAACACGAGGACTGTGAACGGCTGGATGCATATTTCCCTATCTTTCTTGTGTCTACATACACACATGCACGTGTGTCCACACTCCTGCCTCCCCCACCCCCACCCCGTCTCCCGTGAGCCCTGGGGCCCCAGAGGGGAGGCTTGTTCTCTGCTGGGCTCAGTGGATCCCATTCCTGTGGGGGCGTTCCGTCTTTGTTTCCCCCCCCCCCCCCCTCCGTCCTCCCTCAGGCTTCAGGAGGCCCAGGCTGGCTTTGCTTCTCTCCACCCTCAGCAGCCACGCCAGGAGCCCACCCCGACAGGTCCGCCCGCAGCCGCCCAGGCAGCAGGCTTCATGCTCCACCGACGGCCAGCGAGCCTGTGCCTGGGGTTCCGTAGCCTCCCATCCTCCCCCTCCGTCCACTAGGGGCTGAGAGTTCTCTTGTGGTGCTTAGCCATCCTTCAGCCCCATTGGCTTCTGTCTTCGGGAATTTTCCGGAAAGCTTTGGGGTGCGGGTGGGACTAGCTTTCCCGCCCTCTGCCCTGAGGGGGTTTGGGAGCCATGGGGACTCCAGGAAGCTCCAAAGGCCCGGGTGCCACGCCTTTTTCCTGTGTCTGGTCCAGCGCTTTGGTTTCGGGCGGGTTTGTGATGAAATCCTAACGTTCATTTTTCTTGCCTTTTTGCATCGAATGTTATTCACAATGACTCCATTGGCACACCGTCGCTCCCAGCCTGGGTGCAGGGGCGGCATGTCACTCAGCATGGTCCTTCCTGCTGCAGTCACAGCCTCAGGGTGGCCGGACAGGCCGGTCGCTGAGCACCGTTCACTGTTAGAAGATTAAATAATTACCCGTTTTATCCGATGTCTGTAAACGTCACTGTCTGTAACAGATGTGTGTGTTTTATGTGAAAGTGACAGGATATAGTCAACTTCCCTCTTCCGTGTCCAGATTAACTGGATGTGTAGTCAGTAATAGCTGAAACCGGTGTGGCACAGTGGATAGAGCATCGGCCTATGGACTGAAAGGTCCCAGGTTCCATTCCAGTCAAGGGCATGTACCTTGGTTAAGGGCACATCCCCAGTAGGGGGTGTGCAAGAGGCAACTGATAGATGGTTCTCTCTCATCGATGTTTCTAACTCTCTATCCCTCTCTCTTCCTCTCTGTAAAAAAATCAATAAAATATATTAAAAAAAAAATAAAGTCAGCAATAGTCATGTTTAGGGGTGCACGCCCCCCAGGGCCTCTGCAGTGATTTCCCAGTTCCCAGTGGAAGCCCCCGGTTTCTTTCTATTGCACGACAGGAAGGAGAGAACATCTTCTACTTGGCGGTCGACGACATCGAGTCGGACACGGAGCTGCTCATCGGCTACCTGGACAGCGACATGGAGGCGGACGAGGAGGAGCTGACGGCCCCAGACGGGGGCGGCCCCCTCGCTCCTGGGGAGTCTGCACCCGGCAGGACAGGTACGCTCTCCTCTGACCTGGCCAGCGGGAGTGGGGGAGAAGCAAGGCTGGGCGAGTGACGGCTGCAGAACCGAGTTAGCTTTGCCAGCACTGTGCTCGGCGGTGCCCAGCCGTGTGCCTAGCGTTCTGCTGGGCGTGGTGACAGTGTGCCCTGCGTCACCGACAAGGTCACGGATGCCCTGCTCTCCGGGGTACACGGGGGAGCCGGAGTGAAGACTTCAGCGCCAGCCCTGCACCTGCCTTGTGACCTGGAGAGTCCCTGCGTCTCTGAGCTTTACCCCCCTTGTCCCAGACGTGCTGTGATTGTGCCCATTGCTTAGGTACGCCTCCTACTTCGATATCACCGCCCCTATTGTTCTTTAGCTAACAAAATAGCAATTGCCGTGATTTTTGTGGGGAAAAAAAAAATCAAAATTAGTAGATTTTAAAACATAGGATTAAGTACTTATTTCGTTGCTGTTTTTATTTAGAACAAAACTCCAAACCCAAACCAAAACAACCAACCAACCAAGAAATAACAGAAGCTGCCCTGATCGCTGTAGCTCAGTGCACTGGTCCATGCATCCAAGGGTAGAGGGTTCGATTCCTGGTCATGGGCACTTACCTGGGTGGCAGTTGGATCCTGGGCCACTCAGGGCACTCGTGGGGGCAGCCGGTCATTGTGTTTCTCTCACATCGAAGTTTCTCTCTCTCTTTCTTTCTCTCTCTCCCTCCTTCTCTCCCTCCTTTTGCTCTCTATAAAAACCAATGAAAAAAATATCTTTGGGTAAGATTAAAAAAAAAAAATCCTATATCATAAAAGCCCAATATGCAAATCAACCAAATGACGGGACAACCGGTGGAATAACTGGTTGCTGTGATGCACACTGACCACCGGGGTCAGGTGACCAATGCAGGAGCTGGCCCCAGCCCGCAGGCCCCAGGCCAGCCAAAGCAGGTGCCAGTGGGGGCACTTGGTCACCCCGCCAGCCGTCCCACAGACCAGCCCTGGTCGCTGGCCTGGCCGAGGGACCCCACCCGTGCACGGATTCTGTGCACCGGCCTGTAGTAAAAGATAAAGAGAAGAAAGGAGACTGCCCATATGCCTAGCAATGAAGAGCTTTGCTAAACAAATTATGGAACCTTCACTTCAAACCATTCTTTTTTTTTTTATTTTTTTTTTTTACTTTTCCATGTTAAATGGAAAAAAAGAGCAACACATAACATTGCATATAAAGTATGATCATACTTGTAGCTCTTTCTAGGTTGAGTGTGGAATACGAAAGCACAGAATCAGCCAGAAATGGACGGAGGGCTTGTCTCTCCCTGCCTGGTGGTTTGTGAATTTTATTTTCTTCAGACTTTCTGCATTTTCTCCATGTGAGCTTGTGGGTAATCAGAGACGGTATGTGAGTTAAATACATGCTCGGGCAGAGCTGCGATGGTGGCAGGCTGGTCGGCGGCCGCGGGGTCTCCCTCGCCCGCTCTCAGGGCCTGTCACATGGACTGACATTCCTCCTGAGGAGCAGCATCCTCTTCCTCGGCTGGACGGCCTCTTCGTGCAGCTAAACGTGAGCTCAAGGTGACCCCTTGGTACTGGAACCCCAGCTCCTTGCCGTGGACAGTTAGCATTGCAGGGAAATGAAGCGCGATTTTGTGATAACCTGGTACAGCACAAGGGAAATTATTTAAAAAACAATGTCTTTCCCTCTAGTCACACTTCCTATTATTTTTCACGGGCAGCACAGTTCCCGTTCACAGAGGTGAGAGGAATGTTCAGATCTGAGACCAGGAAACACAGCTGATGTGGTTTTAAAATGCGGGATGACCTGCTGAAGCCGGTGTGGCTCAGTGGATGGAGCGTCGGGTTCCATTCCAGTCAAGGGCATGTACCTTGGTTGTGGGCACATCCCCCATGGGGAGTGTGCAGGAGGCAGCTGGTTGATGTTTCTCTCTCATCGATGTTTCTAACTCTCTATCCCTCTCCCTTCTTCTCAGTGGAAAATCAATAAAATATATTTAATAAAAATAAAATAAAATAAAATGTGGGCGACCTGAGCGGCTCTTCTCCTTCTCCCTGTGACCGCAGGCTGCCGTGGCCGCGGCGAGGACCACACGTGCCCCCAGTGCGAGTCCAGCTTCCCCAGCGCGGAGGTCTTGGCCGAGCACCTGCACGCACTGCACCGCGCGCCCGACGGGGACAAGGAGTTCAAGTGCAAGCCCTGCGGAAAGACCTTCCCCGTGCGGCAGGCCCTGCAGCGACAGTGCGTACGGGAGCACAGCCCACACCACCCCGGGACCCGGCTCCCCCTGTGTGTGTGTGTGTGAGTCTGTGTGTGTGTGTGTGAGACCCTGGCTCCGTGTGTGTGTGTGTGTGTGTGTGTGCGTGTGTGTGGGGGTGGGGGTGGAAGGGAGACCTTCTCCGTGCAGCAGGCCCTGCAGCGACAGTGTGTACGGGAACACAGCCCACACCACCCTGGGACCCGGCTCCCCCTGTGTGTGTGTGTGTGTGTGAGTCTGTGTGTGTGTGTGTGAGACCCTGGCTCCGTGTGTGTGTGTGTGTGCGTGTGCGTGTGTGTGTGAGAGAGAGAGAGAGAGAGAGAGAGAGAGAGAGAGAGAGTTTGTGTGTGTGTGTGTGAGTGAGAGAGAGAGAGAGAGAGAGAGAGAGAGAGAGAGAGAGTGTGTGTGTGTGTGTGTGTGTGTGTGAGAGAGAGAGAGAGAGAGAGAGAGAGAGAGAGAGTGTGTGTGTGTGTGTGTGTGTGTGTGAGAGAGAGAGAGAGAGAGAGAGAGAGAGTGTGTGTGTGTGTGTGTGTGAGAGAGAGAGAGAGAGAGAGAGAGAGAGAGAGAGGCAGACATGGGCATGGGGAGGTCAGAGCCCTCCAGGGTCATTGTCCCTCATCTCCCTGTAAGGCACTGCCTTTAGGAACAGCCTGACTGTGAGTTAACAAGTCAGCGTTGCTTGTGCAAACCAGGCTTTTCCTTTTGCTCACGTGCCAGCCACTCCCAGCTCATGGGTTTGTTCAATGGAGCTCAGACTCTCACAGCGTAGCTGGTGCGTGGCGTGGAGGTGACGGGTCACGCTCAGTGGTCTGTGCTGTTCCTGCCGACACCAGGGCCAGGAATGTGAGACACAGAGCTCAGGGCGCCACGCAGGCAGGGACTGTGCGGAGGCAGCTCAGGTCCCGCCACCGTGAGGATCCCTCCGGGGCGTGACGCTGCGATGGCGTGACTGGTCCACCCAGCGCTCCGCACCCTCTGTCCCTGGTTCATAGTGAACAGCCCGCGAGCTTGTTCTTTCCCGTCAGCGTTTGACGGGGCCAGGATCACCAGCAGGGAGGACCTGGGTGCATGTATCTGGGAACGTTTATTTTGAACAGAACAGCATTGGCACGTGAGCAAGCACTCTTCAGCAGAGGCTCAGGGTTTTATCCGCTCATTCACTGAGGAAATTCCGAAAGCGGCCCGATCCTCAGTCATCCCCGATGGTCACACATCCACATCGGCTCCTGAAACCTGAGATGAGGGTTTCTGCCCAACACTTAAAACTTACATTTACGCTAAATTTTTACAATAACAAGAGATTAATCATTTGGAAATTCCATTATAGGCTCTCACACACACACACACTGGCTGCACACTTTCAGCAGAGGTTAGCACTGCGTTCCCGCCAGCTCTTACTGGATTCGGTGTGATGGATTCCACACCTGAGCCGGCTCTGACAGTCACACTCAGGACCCATCCCAATCCCGAAGGCCACAGGCGAGGTGAGAGGGAGAGCATGCTGCTGGCCGTGCAGAGCAGACCCATTCTCATCATCTTGTTCCCCGCCCTCTCCCCATCAGTGCTCTCCAGTGTCCGGCCAGGGCCAGCCCGAAGGACTCCTCCTCCGGAAGCTTCCAGTGTTCCGTCTGCAGTGCGCCCTTCAGCTCGGCGCCCAGGTGTGTGGGGAGCAGAGGCCGCTGGGTCACTGGGTCCCTGTGTCCCTGAGGAGTGACGCTTTGGGCCTCTCCGTGCTTCAGCTTCGGCCACAGGCTGACATGCTGTCCCTGTCCGCCCTGTAACACAGGCGCTGACCCCGAGCGGAGGGGGTGGCACGCTGACCTCAAGCTGGGGGTGGGGGTGGGACACAAGCTCCAAAGCCTCTGGCCCCCCTCCCCAGCTGCGAGCAGCACCAGGCGGCCTGCAGGAGCAAAGCCAGGTTCGTGTGCAAGGCCGGCAGCTGCGGGAAGAGGCTCAAGAGCCGGGAGGCCCTGAGGAAGCACCAGGAGAACGTCCACGCAGGTGAGTCCTGCAGGGGCTGTGACAGCGGCCTCCTGGCCGAGCTGTCTGTCTGTCTGCAGCCCTTTGTTGTCTGTCTGCAGCCCTCTGTCTGTCTGCAGCCCTCTGTCTGTCTGTCTGCAGCCCTCTGTCTGTCTGTCTGCAGCCCTCTGTCTGTCTGCAGCCCTCTGTCTGTCTGTAGCCCTCTGTCCATCTGTCTGTCTGCAGCCCTCTGCCTGTCTGCAGCCCTCTGTCTGCAGTCCTCTGTCTGTCTGTCCGTCTGCAGTCCTCTGTCTGTCTGCAACCCTCTGTCTATCTGCAGTCTCTGTCTGTCTGCAGCCCTCTGTCCATCTGTCTGTCTGTCTGCAGCCCTCTGTCTGTCTGCAGTCTCTGTCTGTCTGCAGCCCTCTGTCCATCTGTCTGTCTGCAGCCCTCCGTCTGTCTGTCTGTCTGTCTGCAGTCTCTGTCTGTCTGCAGTCTCTGTCTGTCTGCAGTCTCTGTCTGTCTGTCTGTCTGTCTGCAGCCCTCTATCCATCTATCTGTCCATCTGCAGCCCTCCGTCTATCTGCAGCCCTCTATCTGTCTGTCTGTCTGTAGTCTCTGTCTGTCTATCTGCAGCCCTCTGTCCATCTGTCTGTCCATCTGCAGCCCTCCGTCTGTCTGTCTGCAACCCTCTGTCCATCTGTCTGTCCATCTGCAGCCCTCCGTCTGTCTGTCTGCAGTCCTCTGTCTGTCTGTCTGCAGCCCTCTGTCTGTCCCTGTGGGGTGGACAGCGGCCCTCCCTCCACGCGTGTGCAGCGAGGCGCTCCCCCCTCCTCCCCCCGACACCGTCTCTTTTCCGAGTCCATGTTGGCAGAATCGCTGCTTTCCTGCCGGAGTCCCTCTGCCTTCCTGTCCTCACAGGAGAATCCGCTCCTAACGCTTCTCCTCCTGCATCAGAGAGAGGACCGGCCAGCATGTGCCACGGGGGTGGTTAACTGCCGTTGGATGCTCCTGATGGCAGGGTAAACTCTCCTTCCGACGCCCCTCGTTCAGTTCTCGGTGGCATTCTGTGTCTGTTCTAGGAGACCCTAAGAAAAAGCTCGTCTGTTCTGTGTGCAACAAGAAGTGTTCTTCAGCAGCCAGCCTGCAGGAGCACAGGAAGGTCAGTGGATGAAGGTGATGCCCATCGGAGCGTGCAGTTTTTTGGTTTTTTTTGTCATGTATGGTGTCTGCCATGTACATTTATGTTGATTTTTTAAAATATTGCCATTAATCTCAGTACAAACATTTTAAAACGAAAGATGGAGATGGGGAAGAGTAACCTTTCCCAAGACGATCCTGAGTGATTGCTCAGAATCAGTGGAGCCATTTGCTGAATAGTTCCTTCCCCTGTGAGCTGGTCCTTGCTGTGTCCGGGTCTCGGGAGATCTCCGCTGGTGATGGAGAACAGCGCCCACACTGTCTCTGCGGGATGTTAGTGTCACCGATGAGCTCAGGGTGGCATTGCCTCCACGGCCGCTCCGTGCCCCTGGCTTAGCCTTTGTGAAGCCAAGGCAGCTGTGACCACTCCCCGTGGCTGGGGACAGCTAATGTCTCACAGAGGTTGGCTTCAGTATTTCACATTGCTAGTAAGTGGTGCTTAAAGAAGAGGAAGCAGAATTACATTTTCATATAGTGTAATAGCCTACGTTACTATATACTGTCCTACATCCCAGTAAGATACACTGCGGTCCTCTTTTTAAAGTATATTTTATTGATGTCACAAGGGAAGGGAGAGGAAGAGAGAGAGAGAAACATCAGGGACGAGAAGGAATCATTGGTCAGCTGCCTCCTGCAGGCCCTACGCTGGGGATGGAGCCCCCAACCTGGGCATGTGACCTGACCGGGAATCGAACTGTGACCTCCTGGTTTTTAGGTCAACACTCAACCACTGGGCCATGCCAGCCAGGCTGTGATCCTTCTTGAAAATTATTTAGTTTGGGGTTGAAATTAGTGTTATTACCCTCCGTTTCATTGGACATTTATGAACATTACTTAGCATTAGGCATAAATAAATAGCATTACTTATCATTTTCACTTTAAATCTGGTTGTTTTATTAGACCATTTTAGGAGTTTTGAAAATAGCTTTACCCTGAATTTTCCACTATAAGTAAGCTATTTAATACAAAATTGCTTTCACGCACAATAAGTGCTTTCTGTTTTATACTTGGGATAATATCAGTTCAATTCAACCTTTAAAAGTGTTTCATGATTCAGAAGCCACGAGAGTTACAAGTTTACAAATATGATTATTCTGCAGTATTTTTAAGTTTCCATTTTATAAATGCATTAATCATTTTTATGCTGTATATCCTAGTAAAAGTTTAGCATTAAAAATGAAAATAAATGTGATTTCATTTATGTGCGGCTGAGAAGGCATTATAAAGGGCATTATTCATGTGTCATAGAAACATCGCTTAGGAATATGAGCCGGCACTTACCATCTTGAGTAGACAGTGCGTGCCGTAGCCCTGCTCTGGGTGGCCCGGTGGTGGAAGGACTGCCTTCCAGAGGTCCCTGGCAGGGTCTCTCGGCACCGTGTGGCCTTCGCCGTGGGCGTGTTGTGCAGCCCGCCCGGCATTCTGAGGGACCTGGAGCTCCGAACCCACCCACCTCCTGATCAGATTAGGTGCCCTGCACCCAGGGAGCCACGTCAGCCTAGTGGGACCATGTCTCCTGCTTCTACTTGTTTCTCTCCCCTTTCCCTGCTTTTCACAACTGCCTTTGCCAACTCACCAGGAGTCAGTCTGACCAAAGAGAAGGTGGCTGCCAGCCTCTGACCTGCCGTTCGCTGGGCCAAGATTGCAGACCTGGGTTCTGTGTGCCCACTTGCTCCCTCTTTTTAGGGCCACTTGGCTCAAGGGAGCCATTCACCGGGAGACAAGGCCTGCCCTCGCACTCACTGCACACTGCCCTCCGTGCCCGGTCAGGACTTCCCATGACTTTTCTCTCTGGCAGGCCCAGCGGCTCTGCTATTATAACACACTCGTGTGATGCTTTACAGAAAGGGTCCCGTTAATTTGCACTAGCTAGATCAGCAGTGTGCAATCTTAATTTCTTTTAACGATGTGTTTACTATTAACTTAGGCTTATTGCAATTTTAATACACGTAGGATAGAAGGAACAGATTAGGGTTGAATTATAATATCCTAGAGGCCCTGTGCACAAACTTCACATCCGTCACATGGGGGCGGAGTTACCCCTCAGACTAGCCTGCATTCTCTCCAATCCCGGAACCTTTGGGGACATCCCTCTCACAATCTGGGACCACTGGCTTCTAACTGTTCACCTGCCTGCCTGCCGATCACCCCTAACTGCCCCCCCTTCCAGCCTGGTTACCCTCAACTGCCCCCACCCCCTGCCGGCCTGATTGCCCCACGCAGCCTGTTGTGATGGTCACTTAGGTTTTTATGTATAGAGATAGTTTGATTATTGCCATAGCAACTTCTGCATGTTTATACTTTTATTCAAGCTCTATACAATGTGTATGGCTTTGACAGTTTATTTAACCATCAATTTAACCTTTTGCAGGTCCACGAGATATTTAATTGTCAGGAGTGTATGAAGAAATTCATTTCGGCGAACCAGCTGAAACGCCACATGATCACCCACTCAGGTAAAAGGCATGCTTTTCACTCTCTATTGGAATCACACGGATGTGGCCTCGTCACTCTCAGGAGCGCGGAGAGGGCGGCCAAAGGCCTGGCTGGTGGTTGTGGCACAGCCATCACTAGCCGTGCAGTTCTGGGCAAGGTACTTAGCCTCTCGGACCTCAGCCTGTTTGTGGAGCTGGGGTGGCTGGTCTGAATGGCTCCAAGGATCTCCCAGGCCCCCCTTTGGTTTGCTCCTCGGTCTGCTGGAGCCGCGGTCTCTGTGTTCTCCATCTGTGACTTGGGACGCTGGCTCGGACGCTGCCCAGCTGCCGGCAGGTCACTGAGCTGGTTTCTGTGCGGGGACCCTGGAGGCCTGACCCCGGGGACTGGGGCAGCGGTGGCCGCCCCTGCATCGCGAGGTGCTGTCCTGTCTCACCGAGGTCCCGGTAGATGGTAGCAAGGTGTTTCTGTCCATTTCGAGAAGGTTCGCTTTTAAAGCCACAGTTTCGGGGTGAGCACGTCTGCGTCAGGAGTAGGACTGCACCACGGATGTTTAGAAAACCAGCTCTGAGGGTGACTTGTGCTCTGTGGAGTTCGGGAAGTCTGTGCCGTGAGGCTGTCTCAGTGTTGCTGAGTGTCCGCCTCGTCAGGAGGTAGAGACGGGTGTTCTGTCACACGGAGCTGAGTGGTGGGACGGTGCCCTCCGAGGGACTTGGTGAGAGGTGACAGCTCCTCTCCCTCGGTGTCAGTGTGAGGAGGGTGAGCACAGGGTCCACAGCTGCCCCGGGGCCTGGTGTCCCTGGGCAGGCTCCCTGCCAGCAGGAGGCAGGTCTGTCCCTTCTTCCTTCACATCCGTCACGGGCAGGTGGTCCTGGGGGAGCTCACGCCGATGAGCAGGTTTGCACGTGGACATGGGGTTCCTTCTTGGACTCTGATTATCATTGTGTCTGAGCTGCTCCGAACGCCCTGAGTATAGAGCGGGTGCGAGGGCCGGCTCCGCCTCCCTGGGACGGGCCCATCACCGGCAGACGAGGTGGAGGCCCTCCTGGCGCTTCTACCTGTCTCATTGCCGTTTCCACGCGGGTCCTCGGGGAGGGGGGCTGTGCTCCTTCGCTGACCTGGCTCTAAGGCGTCTGCACCCGCCTCCCCGCAGAGACGCGGCCGTACCGCTGTGAGATCTGCAGCAAGACCTTCAAGCGGCTGGACCAGGTGGGCGCACACCGGGTCATCCACAGCGAGGACAAGCCCTACAAGTGTAGGCGCTGTGGCAAGGGCTTCGCCCACCGGAACGTCTACAAGAACCACAAGAAGGTGAGTGGCCCGAGCTCCCCTTGCGCTGCCCCATCTCCCGTCCTTTCTCTTTGAAGCCGGTCTGTGTGTCCAGGCGGCTCTGTGTGTCCGTGTGTCTGGAGCAGCTGGAGGAGACGGTGCTGTGGCCGAGCCCTCGCTGGGCCGTGGCCTGGGACCCCGTCTCCGCCCTCGCAGAGGGTCCTCTGCCCTCTGTTCTGAGCGGCTTCCTCCCCCTCCTCCCCCTCCCTCTGGGTGGGACAGGACAGGCTGCTCATGGTCCCTGCCACATCCCCTCCCCTGCGGTGCGGGCGCCCCTACACTCCCATCTTCCTCCAGGCTCTCCGCACGCCCGTCCCTCCCGGGCCGGCCGGAGCTCCGGCTGCTCCTCTCCTGGGTCAGCCCCACCTGTGACCTCTGCCACCTGCTCTCTCCTGACCAGTCCCGAGGGATTCGCTGTTTGAACCCAGGCTTCAGACCCTCACTGAGGGCCGCTTGCTTGACCCGCACCTGGGCGTCTTTTTCTTTCTTTCTTTCTTTCTTTCTTTCTTTCTTTCTTTCTTTCTTTCTTTCTTTTATTAATTTCTCTATTGATTAAAGTATCACATATTTGTCCTCAACCACCCATCCAATCCCCCAACCCCACCCCCAGTCATGCCCCCACCCCCTATTGTTTTAATGTTAGTGTATGTGCTGCTGAAGTTAGCACCAAAATTATATTAAAATTCACTGTATTTTCTTGGAGTATGTTTAAGGTTTTATTCCAAATTGTAAAAAGAAAACAAAACCCATCAATTGAGATGAAATTTATCTTATTGTAAGGGGTGTGAAAATAGATCAAACTTTTTTCCCCCCGAGTGTCTATAAAGTTGACTAAAAACCATTTACTAAACATTTTACAGTCTTGCTATCAATTCAAAATGCCATATTTTCCTATTACTAAATGATCATATATTTTTTGTAATAAAATAAACTTATTCTTTTTTCTTTTGTTAATTTACTTCTTATTTCCACCTATCATTTTAGATTTGTCTTTTGTTTGGTTAATCCTAACTTATCTTTTCCATTGGTATTTTGTTGTTAATCCTCACCTGAGGATATTTTTCCTTTGATTTTTAGGGAGAGTGGGAGAGAGAGGGAAAGACAGAGTGAAATATCCATGTGAGAGAAACATGTCAGTTGGTTGCCTCTTGCATGAGCCCCGAGCAGGGCCTGGGCTGTGGAGGAGCCTGCAGCTGAGGTCCGTGCTCCTGACCAGAATGAACCCTGCGCTGCCTTTGGTCCACAGGCCAACGCTCTATCCACTCGGCCAAACAGGCTGAGGCTTTTACAGTGATTTTTGACTGGGAATCAAACCCATGACCCTTCTGTGTGTGGGCTGACACACTAACCACTGAGCACACCAGCCAGGCCATTTTAAACTTACATAGCACATGTGAATATCTGTAGTTTATCCTGTTTAATGAAGTATTTGTTCTTCCCAGCCTTTCTCTATATTTTTCACAACCGAAAACAGGCACGATCATACCTTTCTCAGCAACACTATGTTTATTCTATATAATAATCCTATATAATAAAAGGGTAATATGCAAATTGACCCTAAAGGCAGAATGACCCGTGGACTAGTCACTCTGAGGCTCACTCACCACCTCATAGTCCCTTCCCCCCACATCAGGCTCCAATCACCCGGTGGCGAATGGGGAACCCGGGTGGGTGGCATCGGGCCGGCTGCGGGCCGCGGGGAAGACGGTCCTGGTCACGGCCAGGCCTCACCTGTGCACGGATCTCGTGGTCGGGCCTCCTGTAGGGTATAATGTCCAGCAGACTGAGGAGATGTGCGGCCACCATGCTGTGAATGGTGACCTTCCTCTAAAGTAGGGGTGTCGAACTTAATCAGAGAAGGGGCCAAAATCTAAAATCCAGCCTAAATCGCGGGCCGAATGGTTTACTGAACAGTCATAAACTGTCATTGTGATGGAAACGCAGCAGAGTGCAGTGATGACAGCGCGGTGCGGGCCACATTGCAAGGCCTGGCGGGACGGATTTGGCCCGCGGGCCTTGTGTTTGACACATGTGCTCTAAAGCATACCCTTTGTCTTTATAGCACGTGCACCATAAAAATAATCCACTGGTTACGTGATTTACCTACCGTAATAAGAGCTCAGGGTGGCTTGTGAGTGCTGGCGGTACCTGGCCCCCCATGGTGGGACGGGGTTTTAGCCACTGGCTTGTGCCCCATGGACGCATACTGGTGTAGGATGGGAGGCAGGGTTTGGGCTCTGAGTTTCAGGTCTGGCAGGCGGTTTGCGGGTGTTGACCGGTATGTTTTGTTTGCCGTGTGTAACGATGCGTATCGCATCCGTGCCATTTGGCATTTAGCAAATCACGGGGACTGCTGGAGTCTTGGTTTTCTCATCTGTTTGTGGGGACAGAAAAAGTGTTCTTCCTTGAATTGCTGCTGGAACAAAGGGAACTAATTCATGGGAAGTGGTTCGCATGTGACACAGAATGAACATTGAATGCATCTGCGAGTGTTAATGGTAACGAGTGGCTTCCTGGTTTAACGGGGAAGCATCACCAGGACTGACCGGTCCCGGAGGTGGTCATTGACAGGGGGAGGGGAGGGGGAATGGTGGAGACGGTTGCCCAGTCGCTTCTGATGAGGTGCTGGCCCTGCAGTTGAAGCCCTGGGTGATCCAGGAGCTTTAGCCTCGAGAAATGACTCCTCTCTCGGACGAGAGCCCGAGAAACCCGTGTTGCACGCTGAGGGGTGTTTGTGGTCATGGGCACCGTTTCCTGGACCACGTATGAACACGTGTGAAACATCTAACCGGTGTGAGGATGTGAAAGGACACTGTGTGTCCCGCGCACACCGCGTGTTGGTGTGAGTGGTGTGGGTGGACGGAGGTCACCAGGAGAAGCAGGTCTTGGCTGCATTCCCGTCTCCCCTCTTTCTCACCTGGACCCCGAGCCTCGTTTCCTACGAGGATGTGCGGGCTCTGCGTCCTTCTGACTCGGTTTCTCCTCCGCAGACCCACTCCGAGGAGCGGCCGTTCCAGTGCGAGGAATGCAAGGCCCTGTTCCGGACCCCGTTCTCCCTGCACAGGCACCTGCTCATCCACAACAGTAAGTCCGCCAGGTGGCAGAGCTCTGGCCGGGGTGACCTTGCACTTCTCCTATTCCCCCCTGCCCCCCCGCCCCGGCCGAGCGGGCCCAGGAGCACAACCCAAGGAGCTGTCTGCTGTGCACACAGAACAGCAATCTGCCTCTCCTCTCCCCTCGTCCTTGTTGTTTTCCCATGGTAAGATCAACCGTTTCATGAGACAGTGTATCTTCTATCGCTCACACCATTGTCTAGTTTGGATAGAAAATATCCATGTCCTGTGAGGTCGCTTTGGAATTTGTTCTAAAACAGACATTTCGGTCCCTCTTAAATGTAACGATTTACACTCGTGGCGCCGGAATGTTCTAGAGTTTGATGGGAGGGGCGGTGGAGGGGTTCACATCCACGCCGGTCTCACCGGGCCGGCCCTCCCGGAAAACACATGGAAGGGCTAAGGAAACGGCAGAGGGGAGGGAGGGGCGGTGTTTTCAGGAGCTCACAGGCCTTTGCACTTGGGGAAGTCAGAGTTCACCTCCCACGTGACCTCTGGATGGAGAAACTGAGAGGATCGGGCGCAGGGAAGGCAGCGCGGACGGGGCTCGCGGTGCGGGGAGCAGCCCGCCCTGTGTCCACTCTGCGTCCGCTCTTCCCGCTCAGCACGCTGCTCCCATGACTCCCTTCCTGGCGTGGGTGCCGTTTCCTTTGTGTGTTAGACACATCATCCAAGGAAGTCCATCTGGCGTCACGTGAGAGCGTGTGGGAGCACACGGCACACAGCCACGTGGCTGAGAACCTCTGTCCCGGAGAGGGGGGTGAGGCAGCCGAGGGGAGAAGCGGTTGCGCTGTCGGGTGTTAGGGACCCAGAGGCTCTGGCCTCCCTGCACCCGAACGGGAGGAAATGGCATGACGAGTCCCAGTCACTCTCCTTGCTTTTAATTGAAGTTGTTTACTCCGTGGAACATCCTCCATGGTGAAATTCCTTCTGCAGATCACACTCTCATATTCCCGAGGGAAGCAGAGCCATTGCTCATTCCTGACAGCGGACGGCACAGATAAGATCGTATCTCGGAAGAAATGTTCTCTGGTCCGTAGATGTATCGAAAACATCAGAATGATAAAGATATGAAAGCTTTTATGAAAACTGAGCGTGACGATGAGAATGATAGAACGCGTGGGCTGTGACCGCGTGCCCCCAGGCCCTCGCTGCGCTGGAAGTTCTCAGCAGACTCCCCGTTCTCCTCCTGATGCAGCTGTGCGTCCCGTGAACAGCACACGGACAGTAGGCGTGTCCATCCCGTCTCCCTGTCGTTGGCAGAACAGGGTCCCTGTTCTGAGAGGAGCGGTTTTAGAACAAGGGTTTAACCAGGGAGCCTCGCTCATACCCTGAGGACTTGCAACTGTGGCTCATACTCAGGAAATTTTTCTTTGGATGGATGAAGTTTTATTTATTTTAGTTTTTTTTTATTTTTATTGATTTCAGAGAAGAAGGGAGAGAGAGATAGAAACATCAGTGATCAGAGAGAATCATGGGCCGGCTGCCTCCTGCATGCCCCACACACGGGGGATTGAGGCCACAACCCAGGCGTGTGCATGACCGGAACTGAACTGTGACCTCCTGGTTCACAGGTCGTCCCTCAACCACTGAGCCACACCGGCCAGCAAGGAATTCTCAGGAGAAGGAATCGGATGTTTTTGACTTCCTCCTGTTGGTTCTGATCCATTTGAGGCAGAGGACTGAGGTGCCCGAGGCTGGGCCTTGCCTGTGTGTTTGATATAACCTTGATTGGCACGTTGATCAGGGGTTAGGAAGCTGCATCAGGACGTGTGGTTAGATCGGCTCTAGGATTGAGCGAGGAAATGAGTGATGTAAGGAGGATGAAAGCTGGAAGCTGTACAAACAGGAGAAAACACTAGGCCGTGTCCCACACCTCAGGAAACGTGAAACCTGGCTAGCATCACTGTGTGGAGGTGGGAGCTGAGAACTCTGACCTCCGCTCAAGACAGGAGGAGAATGTGCCATCATTGATTTGGAAGTTACTGCCATTTCCTAGTATCCTGGAAGCCGAAAGGCAGGCTACCAGCCAGCTCCTTGGTTTTATAAAGGGGGTGAGGTGGGGGGGAGGGATTGGATAAATTTAAGACAAAGAAATCTGGTAAAATCAAGTAAAATCTCACACCAGGATTTTAAAACTCTGATGCGCTTTAAGGCCAAGAAATCTGGGGTTAACATGCCAGGAGAGGTGCTGCGTGGAGAGGTTTTGCTCAGAACCTCCCGTTTTGATTCTCTTGACAGTTTGATGAAAATGCTTGGGCAGGGCAATCTTGGAGGATTTAGTTTTTAATTTCTTCCAGTTCCTGATTGAGATCTGGCATAATTAACATTTGTCACCTCATGTCAACTCATCCTTCATTCTGCTCTCCTGGTTCTCTATGTTACACACACAAAAAAATGTTCAGATAAATCTAAAGCGATACTTAGAGACACACTAGGTCCCTACGGCATCACCCACCACATAGATGCACAAAGAAGCTGCGGACAGAACTCCCAGAATCCTCCCAGGCCCGTGACGCCTGCGTGGCACCCACTTGGCTTTGTCTCAAACACCGCATTTCCCCAGGCCTCCGAGAAACTCAGCGGCCGGCACTGATGAAGGACAACGAGGGAGGCAGCTGCCTCTCCCCTCCCTCCCGCCCCCTCCCACGCTGCACAGCCCCCCTTCATCTCCCCATCCCCCTTCCAAACACCCCTCTCAGTCCACCCTCCCCCTCCTCTCCCACTCCTCTCCCCCTCCCCTCTCTTCCCCCTCCCCCCCTCCTTTCCCCCTCCTCCCCCCTCCTCTTCCCCCTCCCCTCCTCCCCCCCCCCTCCTCTTCCCCCCTCCCCTCCCTCCTTCCCCCTCCCCCTCCTCTTCCCCCTCCCCTCTCCTCTTCCCCCTCCCTCCTCTTCCGCCCTCCCCCTCCTCTTCCCCCTCCCCTCCTCTTTCCCCCTCCCCTCCTCTTCTCCCTCCCCCTCCTCTCCCCCTCCCCCTCCTCTTTGTCCTCACATGTGCTTGAGGTGTGCGAGGGCCTTGCCGGCCTGAGTGGATGCTGGCTGTGAGGGAGGCACCAGGAGGCTGGGGCTGAGGCTGAAGTTTTATTTTAAAAAAAATATATTTGGTCTTGGGCTACCCTGCTAGTGGTTCTCAACCTGTGGGTCGCGAACTCACAGGTTGAGAACTGCTGCTGTAGAGCCTAAGACCGTCGGAAAACAGATATTTACATTATGATTCATTAACAGTGGCAACGGAAATAATCTTATGGTTGGGGTCACCGCCGCATGAGGAAAGTATTAAAGGGTCGCAGCAGCAGGAGGGTTGAGAGCCGCTGGCTTAGGGAGTTGGAAATGGGCACGCTGCCAGGAGGAGCTGAGGGCGGCGTTCCGTGAGCTTTAAAAAGGGCCCAGAGCTCCCTCCGTGGCTTCCCCTGCAGCCGAGGCTGTGGATGAAGGAAGGCACCGGGGTGCTAGGGCAGAAGCCGGGAGTCGCCCCTCTAGGCTCCCCTCGGCCCCCAAAGTGTCTGAGAACCTGAGCAGAACCCCCACCCTAAGGGCATGCGGGTAGCTGTGGGATTGAGGGGTGAAATGAAGGGTCTCCACCCATCTCCTCTCCCCTGGAAACTGACTTTTAAAACCAGTTGGTGGTGAAAGGGCAGAGCAAGGCTCTCAGCAGAACCTCTCTTTGTTGAAGAGCCAGCCCCATGTACACTTAGTGTTTATCTCGATGCTGGCCTTGTGCGCCACCCTTGACCAGTCAGGAGGTAGCAGGGCATACTCGTGTTTCCCCGAAAATAAGACATCCTCCGAAAATAAGACCTAGTGCAACTTTGGGAGAAAAAATTAATATAAGACACTGTCTTATTTTCGGGAAAACAGGGCATAGCTCAGACCCAGGAATGCGTTAGTCATTTCCTATCTTTGTGCCATAAGAATTGCTGTAAGTCCCAGATGTAAAACCCTGGAATAAAACCCTGACCTGCAACTGGGGTCAGCCAACTCGGGTCTGATCCTCCCCTGACCCAGACCCCGTAAAACCCTTTGTCCTGTGGAAGCTCGCTCTCTCCCCACCTCGCCGCTGCACCAGTGTATGTGGGACCGAGCTTGGGCTAGCTCGAATAAAGGCTCTGTGCTTTTGCATTGGACTCGGCTCCCGGTGGTCTTTGGGGATCACGAAATCTGGGCGTTAACAGGTGGGAACTCAGGCAATGAATTCAGCTCCACATTTCCCAGGTGCAGAGGCTGAGAGCACGAGAAGCTAAAGGGCTTCCCTGCCACGGAGTGACTCCGCAAACGTGGAGCCAGGCTCACTGTGGCCGCTCCCCTTTATGGCTGGGGTCCGTGGTGAGGGCTGTAAGGCCGCCTGTGGGGGTCAAGGCCGGCTGGTGTGTGAGGCCACCGGCAGGGCCTGCATGGCACCTCACATTCCTCTCCTGTGACCCGTTTCCAAGGCGAGAGGACCTTCAAGTGCCACCACTGTGACGCGACCTTCAAGCGGAAGGACACGCTGAACGTGCATGTGCAGGTGGTGCACGAGCGGCACAAGAAGTACCGCTGCGAGCTGTGCGCCAAGGCCTTCGTCACGCCCTCCGTGCTGCGCAGCCACCGCAAGGTGAGCCTGGGGGGAGGCGCCGTCCAGCCTGGGGCTCCGTCCCGGCCTGGGGGCTCCGTCCTGTCCCGCCCTGGGGTGCTCCGTCCCGGCCCGTACGCCCGCCGGGCCAGTGGGGCTGCCGGGGGCTGGACCGTCACCCGCCCGCGGGGTTGTTTTCAAATCCCCGCAGACACGCCGATCGGAGGGGGTTTGGAGCCAGCGGGGAGGCCGGTGACCGTGGTGAAAGTCTCACGTGACAGTAAATCACGTCCAGGCAGAAAGGGTTTGCACTGGGTCATCGCTGCCGTCTCCCTGATTAACTCACCTCTCTGGACCCCCTGCCCCGTGCAGACACACACGGGGGAGAAGGAGAAGACCTGCCCGTACTGCGGCCAGAAGTTCGCCAGCAGCGGGACGCTCCGCGTGCACATCCGCAGCCACACGGGTGAGCAGCCCAGGCCCTGAGGCCCCGGGCGGGGGTCCGGGGGAGGGCCGGGGGGAGGGCGGCAGGTGCTTCGGGGACTAGGCGTCCTAACACCACAGACCCCTCCAGACAGAGAGCTTTCTCTCCTTAAACGTCTACAAGATCCAGTCTCTTATTCTAGAACGTGTTTGAGTGAGTGGCCTTCCTCAGACGGAGTTGAGTATCTAGTGTGGACATAACCGCTCGCCGGTCGGTGTGGTGACCGGCTCACTGTGCCCGCTGTTCGCCGTTGGCGGGCAGAGGGGGCAGAGTTCCTCTCTGTGGGGCCGGGGCCTCCTCTCAGCCTCCCTCCCGTCAGCCTCCGGCAGCGGCGTCCCCAAAGGCCCTAACCTGTGGGACCCCACACCGCCCCCGACGCTGCCCCTCCGCCACGTCCACGCCCGTCGGTGCCACGGCACGTGGGTCTCTCCCTGCGTGGGGCCCTGACAGGACGCCCAGGCCGGAGAGGTGCGGGCTCGCTGAGCCGGCGGGTCTTCCCGTGTCCCCGCCGTCCCCGGCCTCCTAGGCAGTCTGCTGTCCAGCACACGGTAGTGGACCCAGGGTTCCTCCGTCCTGAGTCTCCCTCGATTCCTCTGCTCCTGAGCACAGCTCCCGCCCTCCCTCCCTCCCTCCTCTCTGTCCTTCTTTCCTCCCTTCCTTCCTCTTCAAATGACGGGCTCACGGCTTCTATATCGAAAAACAGATGTTGACTGGATACCACATCAGAATGGCCGTGGCCGTGGCCACTGTGTGTGAAGTACACACTGCTCCGGGGAGGAGCCGCCGGGTCAGCCCGTGGAGGCTGCACCCTCTCGCTGGGCCTCCCGCATGGGTCCCTGTGCGTCCCGGGTCCCAGGGGTGCCCTCTCCCCACTCTATCCAGAGAGCAGTAGAGGCGCATCTGTCCCGTGTGGCGAGGTTGGCCTGTGGCCCTGGCACGGCCAGGAGCAGCGGGCAGCGGGCAGCTGGGCAGCGAGCAGCTGGGTAGCAGTTCTGCCCCCTGCTGGGGGTCTCAGGCAGTGGCGACCAGGAGGCCCTCACTGCCCCTCACAGGAGCCACATGGTGCTCTGTTCCTCTGCTCACCTGGGCACTCAGGCTGAAGAGGCCGGCCGTGCGGGCGGGAAGGTTCCACTCAGGTGGATGAGCCTCGGACAGGACCCGGGGGCCTTTCTCAGCGGGTGGCAGGTCCCCAAGGCCACACTCACTTCCTGTCCCTGAACCCGAGGCTCAGACAGCAAAGGGCCCAGCCAGCCCAGGGAACAAGGTAATGACCTACCTAGTCAAAGAAATAGAATCCAGCTGTGGTCTCTTCTTTTTCTTCTACACAGCTGTTCTAATTATCACAAGAAGCACGGCTGGGGGCGCTCAGTGGTTGAGTGTCAACCTATGAACCAGGAAGTCATGGTTCGATTCCTGGTTGGGGTAGAGAACATACAGGAGGCAGCCAATCAGTGATTCTCATCATTGATGTTTCTACCTCTTTCTCCCTCTTCCTTTCTCTCTGAAATGAGTAAATATTTATTTTAAAAAATAACACATGAATTATAAAATGCTGTAAGTTCTCCAGTATAAAAGATGAGGAATGAAATTCTAAAGGTCTTACCATTATTTCAGTAATTTGAAAGCTTTATGCTTTAGAGCCAAATGAAAGGTGTGCTAAAATTTTTATTTCTACATTCCCCTGCTCATTTCCTCCTGAGCCACCTTTATGGTGGCAATAACACAGAGAACACGGCGGCTAAATGTAGTTTCACCAGGTGGCTTTTATTTTTTTAACCAAAAAAGGGTTTTGTTTTTTAGAGCAAGTTTGGGTTCACAGTAAAATACAGAGATTGGCTCGTCTGCTACTACCTCCTCCCCGGACACAGCCCCCACCATCCACATCCCCATCCAGAGATGAGCCCGTGCAGTCCCTGAACCCCGTGCTGACACATTATACTCCCCCCGCCCCCCCCCGCCAGCCCGCTGTCTGCCTCAGAGTGCCCTCCTGCTGCTGGACATCCTGTGGGCTCGGGCGAACGACAATGCCACATGCCCACGATTGGAGTGTTGTGCTGAGTAGTTTCGTTTCGCTGCCCTAAGCCCTCTGTGCCGTGCATTCACTCCCCAACTCTCCCCCGGCCACCACCGAGCGCCCTCGGCCTCCCTCCCACAACCTTTCCCGGTTGGACAGGTGCTTTCTTTCGCCGAGGTAGGGGTTCCCCCGGAGGACCCTTCGGCACGTTGAACACTCCGCCCCGTGCCGAGGTGTCTCTGTGGCCATGGTCTTCCCTCTGTCTCCTCGCTTCGTGGGAAGAGTCGGCCTCATTTGGTTTTTATAGTGTTCAGGCCGTCCGTCAGGGATTTGGGAAGCGGATTCTCTTTTGTAACCTCAGCACAGGTTTGTGGAAGGGACCTGTGGCTGCAGCCTCGGGCTCCTCCTTCCGTTGGCTGGTGCCCTGTGTCTGCTTTATGGTCCCTTTCTCAGAGCCGCTCTGCCTGGTGCCCTGTGTCTGCTTTACGGTCCCTTTCTCAGAGCCGCTCTGCCTGGTGCCCTGTGTCTGCTTTATGGTCCCTTTCTCAGAGCCGCTCTGCCTGGTGCCCTGTGTCTGCTTTATGGTCCCTTTCTCAGAGCCGCTCTGCCTGGTGCCCTGTGTCTGCTTTATGGTCCCTTTCTCAGAGCCGCTCTTTCTTTCTTGGCTCAGACCGACAGTCATTCTCTAAGACGGTGATGGCTCAGCTATCAAGTTACTACCTGTCTGTTCCTCTGGGGGGAATCTCAGTGTTTCTTTCTCCGTTTAAAGGAAACCTTTTAAAAATGCCTCTGGCTCCTCACATTCTGATTGACTTTATCCTTTACTGCCTCAGCTCACCAGCCAGTTGTATCAGCTGTGCCCTCGTCTCACCTGTCTTCTCTGTCCCTCCATCCCAGTCCCATCATTGGGTACTGCTGGGACGAAATCTGACAAAACTTTGGTTTTTCCATGAACGTTGAAAATGTTGTTTTTCATAAACTTTGTATCTACCTTCTAAAGTCTGCTCATTCTTTGTAATTAGGTGATTTGAATAAAGACATGCACAGCAAATGTGCCCAAGGCGTTCACTTTTATACATCATTAAACTATAGTATTATTTCGTAAAAAAATACTTTCACTGATTTTTAAAGGCAGAGGAAGGAAGAGGGAGAGAGAGCAAAACATTGATGCAAGAGCGCAGCATCAGTCGGCGCCTCTGCACCCCCCCTCTCCCCACCCACCGGGGATCGAGCCCGCAGCCCGGGTGTGTGTCCTCCCTGGGGGTTGACCTGGCGACCCTTTGGTGTACAGAATGATGACCAACCCACTGAGCCACACCAGCCAGGGGAAAATATAATAAACCATTGACTTTTATAATAGAAAGGAATTTCAGAAAGTTTCTAATTCAAGTCTCTTAGTTGAATTCATGCCCATCAACTCATGAGTCCAGTGATTTGCTCATTTCAGAACTTGTGTGTGGCTCATCCAGAACTGAAGGAAGGCAGATGATAATTCGGGTTTCCAGTGTCACGTGGCTGGTATTTTATCCCTTGTTCTCTATCAATGCCTCCTAGCCTCCCACTGCTCCTGACATACCAAGGGTTACACACATGCCAGACGTACCGTGGGTTACATACGTGCCTCCCACAGTGTGTGAGGACATCACCTTGGTCTTCAGCCAGTTGAGGGCACTCATCTGCCCTTGGACGCGTAGGGTGTGTGGCGTGTGACTTACGGTCTAACTGAGCACTCAGCTCCACCCTGGAGACGCTTTCCCACCATAAAACCAGTGGTCCATGAGACCGGGTCACACGATGCTGGTTCATAGGGAGCATGTGTCTGTGCCCAGCAGGCAGCTGTCATTCCTCACCGGCTCCCAGGCTAGCATGCCAGCGGTGGCTCCCATTCTGAGGGCAGCAGGAACAGCGAGTGGCTCTGCCTCCGGACGGCCAACAGCTTCTCAGGCAGCTGGAACGGTGGTGATTCCGCAAGAAATCTGTGGGCTGTGGCGGGGATTCCACCAGTAGTTCATAAATTATGAGAGGAATTCTAGGAACTGTCTTTGGGTTCTGCAGCACCGGGCCAGAAGGTTAATTACCTGCCTGAGGCTCCCTGGTCTGCGTGTTATAGTCGCCGGCTGTGGGCCTTCTGCTCCAGGCCGGCTGCACGCCGCTGTTCGCACAGAGTCATAAATCATTTCCCAGCAAACACTTAACGTTTCAGTAAGTACGTGGAATGCACTTAGAAATAACGGCTCAGTATAATTTGATTCTACTTGGATTCCAGCCACTGTTTTCTCTGATGTTTTTGCTAAAGGAATTCATTCATTTTTAGAATATTGTTCACAGGTTTAAGAACACTAGGCAACAAATAATCCTGTATATTAATAGCCTAATACACAAATTGTCCCCTGGGCACGAACTGTGACCTCCTGCTTCACTTAGCCACGCCGGCCCAGCTATTGTGTATACCTTTTAATCTTCCAAGTTGCTCATGGCCATTGCTGCTCAGTCTGTTGCATTCAGTGTGTTTACTGACATGATATAAAATTTGATCTTCTGAGCCATCTGACCGAGTGGTCAAATTCATTTCTTAAACCCATGGCCTAATTTAAGAATATCAACATGTCTCATTTAAGAATACTAGGACTTCCAAGGTTTTTCTTTATTGATTTTATGTTATCTAAACAACAATCTTTGGGAAGGATTTGTGTCCAGATGTCGGACAGTGAGGTGGTTTTGTAGCTGTCAATGGATAGTCAGTATTCAGAGGCTTTAGGGTCCTTGTATCATGAGCACACTTGCTAACCTTCACTCCCTCCACAAGCTTCAGGTGCTGTTTTATTATTAGTGTGTTGCTCCTTGGTGAGAACAAAGTTCTTATCATGTCTTTAGTAACACTGCATTGCATAAAATAATGGGGCATTAATAAATTATTTTAGTAGCATGCATTAAACTAGAATCGAGTTTCCCCCTATTGCCTTTAGCCATGGTTGTTGTCATAATGCATTTAAAATGCATTATGCATTATATATATTATTATATTTTTTTTTCAAAAAATCCATAATATATATATATATATACATATATATATATATTATGGATTTTTTTTTTACAGAGAGGAAGAGAGAGGGATAGAAAGTTAGAAATATCAATGAGAGACAAACATGGACCAGCTGCCTCTGCACACCTCCTTCTGGGAATGTGCCTGCAACCAAGGTACATGCCCTTGACTGGAATTGAACCTGGGACCCCTCAGTCTGCAGGCCGATGCTCTATTCACTGAGCCAAACCAGTTAGGGCCATAATGCATTTTCTTTGTTAAAGACTCACCAGGACTGGCTTGGGGACCAGGCTAGACTCTGTAAGGGGTTCCAGGTGGCATCTGGATAGCCCCTGTTGAGGGCACCGCCCCATTTACTGGAGCCCTTTCCTGAACATTTCCCACCTTTCCTCTCTCTTTCACATCTGGAATATTTGTAAGCTCCTTCCACTTCAGGCATGCCAACAGTGAGAATTTGGCACTAGCCCAGCATGATAAAATAATTCAGAGGTGGAGACTTACAGAGAGTTTGCTCAGATCATCTTACACTGGCACCAGAACGGCATTCCTTCAGTCCTGTGCCTTTCCTGGAGAGCTTAGCAGGTCCTTCCCCCACCCCCCTCAGAGGGTGTCCACACCTGTCTCCATCCGTATCCGAAATCATAGTGTGTGTGCTTTAACTTTTCCACGCCGTTCCCATTGCACTAGTAAAATGGAAGAGACAGTGGTTTTACGAATGCACTTGTATCCCCATTCCAAGGTCCTGACAAAGAAAGATACCTTTTTAATGAATGAAGGAGATTGTTTCATGGAGCCTCCACTTTGTGGTATCATTTAAAATCAACCTAAATTCAACCCTGTACAGCTGGCATCATGCTTCTCTTTGTTCCTGGATGTGTTTGAAGAAAACACAAGAGGATGTTAATAGTATTGGGTGTCAAAGCATAATATAAAGAAAGAGGCAGGTACAAAGAACTCGCCTATTGTTGAGCGAATGCCTGTGAATGACCACTGGAGACCAGACCAAATTAAAATTTAGGGAGCCTTTATTAGCCGGCTGGGCAACTGCTCTGTCATTTTCCACGCAGGGAATTCAGAGAGCAGCCCTGACCCTTTGTGCAGGACCACTTTTAAGCACATTAACCACATCCTGTTTTTGCAGAGCAAGCAACCCAAGACAAAACAGTTTTTCCCCAAGCAAAGTCAGAGTCATGCCATTGACGACCATGTTCTTCACAGGGTCATCCTGTTCTTCAGAAAGCTGACAGTGTTCTATGAAAGAAGGCCTACATGCTGGGAAGGAGCCATGAGACCATATCTCAAGGCCTGGCCTAGCATCAGCACTGACAACTCCATCTGGGGCACAGTCCACGGCCTCTCTGGAATGGGCAAAAATTCCCACTCTTCAACATGCCTATTTTTCTTAGCCATGACAGAAACTATTTTACTGTCATACACACATCAGTGTCATGTGTGTGACTGTGCCCATTAACTCTGACTGCTGGTAGCTGCCCCTGGGTGAGCTGTGTGTGCGGTGTTTGCCAGGGCCGCATTCCACTGAGCGTGGAAGGCGATTACTCGTCTCCTGCGATGGCGGGCCTACTTGAGACATAATACACATCTCCCCCCCCCCCGCCCCCCCCCGCCCCCCCCCCCCCCCCCCCCCCGCCAGGAGCTTTGAGGACTCAGTGCCTCTCTCTGGAAGAAATATCTGGTTCATGTTAACTGTCATGTCAAGAAGCAGAGTCTCCACCAGTCACTTTAGAAGTGTCAGTGGGATAATAAAGACCCTCTCAGTGGGCACGGTTCTCTCTGGTTAGCATTGCTCCTTAATGAACAGACTGAGAGCCCAGCTGGGGTGGCTGAGCTTCATGTTGTCCCAGGCACCATATGGGAGGCAACTGACAGATGTTTCTCTCTCACATCGATGCCTCTCTCTCCCTCTCCCCCTCTTCCCCTCCCCCCCCTCTCTCTCTCTATCCTCCTCCTCCTCCTCCTCCTCCTCCTCCTCCTCCTCCTCTTCTTCTTCTTCTTCTTCTCCCTCCCCCACTCAGGTGAGGATTAAAAAAATGATTCCTAAATGATTCCTAAAATATTGTCCACCAATTCTTAAAATCAGGAGGTTGCAGGTGGGCTCATGCAGTAAAAGGGCCGTGCATCAGGCCTGCGCTGGGATTGCCACTGGTCTCTGAGGCCGGCCAGGACCCGGGGCTGGGTTCCTGCCCACCAAGGGAAGCCTGGGACCCAGTGGGCACAGGGCTTGGTGGGGCCTGATCAGAGCGCAGGAAGAGGAGGAAGACAGCACTGCTTGCTCTGCATCTGCGTGTTCTGACGCGGAGCCTTCTCTCATTCGTCCACAGGTGAGCGCCCCTACCAGTGCCCATACTGCGAGAAGGGCTTCAGCAAGAACGACGGGCTGAAGATGCACATCCGCACGCACACCCGGGTAAGGCCTTCGGCTGACCCTTGGCCACGGGAGCCACGCCGACTTAGAGGGCGTGGAGCTGAACTCGGGGAAAACCAGGGCCACGGGTCTGAAACCACGTGTTTGCGTTTATGATGGGCATTTGTATGGTTTTTAAAGACAAAACAATGAGAGGGACACGAAGGAATACCCCCAAAGGGTCTGCCTCGAACCCGTGACGCATGGGCAGGAGCCACGGGAGTTGTCGGTGACACTCCGAGTGGACAGGCATTCGCATTGTGAGCAGATGAAGATGGGTCAGTGTCTGCGGGGAGCGTGCTGGACTGGAGTGTCCGCAGGCGGCCGCGGTGCAGAGGAGCAAGCATGTTGGCAGAGATACGCAGAGAGGAGACAGTGCAGGCCGCTGGGGGAGGTGGAGGGCAGGGAAGGCGTGTGGCCGGTCAGGGTCTCCTCCCAGGTGCAGGCTCTCTGCCTGCACACTTCTGCCCGCAGCAGCTTTTCCAGACAACGGGGGACTGACTCCTAGGGCTCCTCGTGATGGGGCCCCCCCATGGCTCCCTGCAGCCTCTTTCTCGGGGTTCCTCAGTCCGGCCTCTGGACTTTTCCAGGTTTCAGAGGCGCGCCCAGGCCTCTGAGAGCACTGGGGATTCAGGCCTCTGGCTTTATGTCTGACCTTCACTGTGAAGGAAACACTTTAGAGAAAACAAATCCTCATCACACCTTCTCCAGCATGAGGACACGCCCACCTCCACTGAGGCCTGACCCTGGGGCCGTGAACGCCCTCGGGGGCCATGGTGTGTGTGTGTGTGTGTGTGTGTGTGTGTGTGTGTGTGGCATGGTGAATGCCCTTGGGGGCCATGGTGTGTGTGTGGGGGGGGCATGGTGAACGCCCTCGGGGGCCATGGTGTGTGTGGGGGGGGGGGGCATGGTGAACGCCCTTGGGGGCCATGGTGTGTGTGTGTGTGTGTGTGTGTGTGGCATGGTGAATGCCCTCGGGGGCCATGGTGTATGTGTGGGGGGGGGCATGGTGAACGCCCTCGGGGGCCATGGTGTGTGTGTGTGTGTGGGGGCATGGTGAATGCCCTCGGGGGCCATGGTGTGTGTGTGTGTGTGTGTGTGTGTGTGTGGCATGGTGAATGCCCTCGGGGGCCATGGTGTGTGTGTGTGTGTGTGTGTGTGTGTGTGTGTGTGGCATGGTGAACGCCCTCGGGGGCCATGGTGTGTGTGGGGGGGGGGCATGGTGAATGTCCTCGGGGGCCATGGTGTGTGTGTGTGTGTGTGTGTGTGTGTCATGGTGAATGCCTTCGGGGGCCATGTGGACCTCCTCCCGGTTTTGTGACAGGTGAGGGGCGCTCCTCTGCCGGTTAAAACAGCCCCCGTTCCCCCACTCCCAATGCCATGCTTGTCTTTTAGGAATGTGAGTAACTGGGCCACTTCCCCCGGGTAAAATGGCTCCTTAAACAATACAGTGGCTTAAACGCACGTGTGCAAAACAGGCTCTTTACAGGGGGTGATTAGTTTTAGCGTCTTCACTCATTTTTCACATGTACTGTTGTCAACATATCTTTTAAAGATGCCGATCTGCAGGCAAAGGGGCCTGGTGCCTCTTGCCAAACCTGGAGGTGCCCAGCACCTGGGCCTGTGGGTCTGTCCCTGCCTCCGGGGGACAGAGGCGCAGGGCTGGACCGCAGAGGGGCTGCCAGGAAAATCCTCAGAAAGCCGGGTATTTCAAATTCAACTAATTTGGGGGTATCAGTGCTAGGGGCTGGGGGTACCTGTGTGGGTGAGGGCTGGGGCTGGGGGTACCTGTGTGGGTGAGGGCTGGGTGGTGGGGTGCCTGTGTGGGTGAAGGCTGGGGGCTGCAGGTGTCTGTGTGGGTGAGGGCTGGGTGGTGGGGTGCCTGTGTGGGTGAGGGCTGGGTGCTTCGGGTGTCTGTGTGGGTGAGGGCTGGGGGCTGGGGTTGCCTGTGTGGGTGAAGGCTGGGGGCTGCAGGTGTCTGTGTGGGTGAGGGCTGGGTGGTGGGGTGCCTGTGTGGGTGAGGGCTGGGTGGTGGGGTGCCTGTGTGGGTGAGGGCTGGGGGCTGGGGTGTCTGTGTGGGTGAGGGCTGGGGGCTGGGGTGCCTGTGTGGGTGAGGGCTGGGTGCTGTGGGTGTCTGTGTGGGTGAGGGCTGGGTGGTGGGGTGCCTGTGTGGGTGAGGGCTGGGTGCTGTGGGTGTCTGTGTGGGTGAGGGCTGAGGTCTAGGGGTGTCCGTGTGGGTGAGGGCTGGGTGGTGGGGTGCCTGTGTGGGTGAGGGCTGGGTGCTGTGGGTGTCTGTGTGGGTGAGGGCTGGGTGGTGGGGTGCCTGTGTGGGTGAGGGCTGGGTGGTGGGGTGCCTGTGTGGGTGAGGGCTGGGTGGTGGGGTGCCTGTGTGGGTGAGGGCTGGGGGCTGGGGGTGCCTGTGTGGGTGAGGGCTGGGTGGTGGGGTGCCTGTGTGGGTGAGGGCTGGGTGGTGGGGTGCCTGTGTGGGTGAGGGCTGGGTGGTGGGGTGCCTGTGTGGGTGAGGGCTGGGTGGTGGGGTGCCTGTGTGGGTGAGGGCTGGGTGCTGTGGGTGTCTGTGTGGGTGAGGGCTGGGTGGTGGGGTACCTGTGTGGGTGAGGGCTGGGGGCTGGAGGTACCTGTGTGGGTGAGGGCTGGGTGGTGGGGTGCCTGTGTGGGTGAGGGCTGGGTGGTGGGGTGCCTGTGTGGGTGAGGGCTGGGTGCTGTGGGTGCCTGTGTGGGTGAGGGCTGGGTGGTGGGGTACCTGTGTGGGTGAGGGCTGAGGTCTAGGGGTGTCCGTGTGGGTGAGGGCTGGGTGGTGGAGTGCCTGTGTGGTGAGTGCTGGGGGCCTGTCTAGCTGCTCCTGCTTTTATAACTAGGTAAGAGATGCAGACACATTTGACTTTTAAAAAACTTTTTTAAAAGCTTACTATGATTTTGGAGGAAACTTTTAAGGCTGTTTCACTTTTGGTTTTTCTAAACATCATAGGCTTTTGTTGTGTGTGGGCCCAAGGCTGGCGGGCTGCCATGGTTGGGACTATCTCTGATTTGGCGATATTGTTCCAGAGCCCCGCATCTCTGGGGGTGTGCCTGTGGAGGAATCACTAAGACAAATGGCTCTGAGGCCCCTGGTGCCTCACGTGGCTCAGGAGGCGGCTCTGGAGGTAAACATCTAACACACACACCCACACCCATACACACAGACACACACACACAGACACACACACAGACACACACACAGACACACACACAGACACACACACAGACACACACAGAGAGACACACACAGAGACACACACACACAGACACACACACAGAGACACACACACAGACACACACACACACAGAGACACAGACACACACACACACAGACACACACAGAGACACACACACACACAGACACACACACACACACACAGACACAGACACAGACACACACACACAGACATATACTCAGACACACAGAGAGACACACACACACAGACACACACACAGACACACACACACACAGACACACACTCAGACACACACAGACACACACACACACAGACACACACACACAGACACACAGAGACACACACAGACACACACATAGACACACACACATACACAGAGACACAGACACACACACACATAGACACACACACAGACACACACAGAGACACACAGAGACACACACAGACACACACATAAACACACACACAGACACACGCGCACATACACACGCCCACACAGAGACACACACATAGACACACACAGACACAGACACATACACACACATACACACACATGCGCACACAAAGACACACGGAGACACACACAGACACAGACACACACACACACACACACATGCACGCACGCACACATGGCTGGCCGTTCCTCTGACAGGGATGCTGCCTCCTGAGGGCCTCCCCGCTCCGGGCCTCTGTCCCGGGAGCCAGCGCTCTCTGCAGTCACAGCCAGCACGGCCCTGCCAGCAGCACCTCCATTGACACCCTGGACGCCAGGCGGACCCCCAGCCTCCGAGGACACCCAGCGCAGGGCTCCTGACCGGGACCCTGGCCCGGCTCTCCGGAGCGCTGAGTTCCCCTGGCCCTGGGCTCTGGGAGTGAGAGTGGAACCTAAAGGAAGCTGGATGTCAGCGTCCTGACAAATGTACGGAGGCAGATGGCCCGCAGGAAGGCAGACAGAGTCTTCTGTGCACTTCAATGTGTGTCTATGTTCAGGTTTACGAGGGTCCGGTCACACCGCCACGCGGGGTCCAGCGGGGCCCAGGCGTGAAATGTGCTTTATCGGCCACGTTTTCTGATACTGTAATTTTCATTCCATATTCCAGGCCGTTTGATTTTAGCGGGGGTGGGGTGAGGGGGGAGAAAGCTGGCTCTGTGGATCTAAAACAATGTGCAGGGCAACAAAATAAAATGTAAAATCAGAAAAAAAACCAAAAAGACAAGAGAATAGAAATTAACCATAAAACAAAACCAAAACACCAAACCTTTCCCCACCTTCCTCCCCAGAAAAACAACAAACAGAGGGACGCGTGTTCACAGAATGTGGTGGGCGGGCGTCCGTGGTGGCCGCTGGCCTCGCCCTCCCTGGAACGGCTCTGCAGTCCACAGGCAGGGGCTTCCCTGCAGGGCCCAGGCTGGACAGAGACCGGGGGCAGGGAGAAGCGGACGAGCTGTTCCGGGACCTCAGAGGCCCTGACCGGGACCTCAGAGGCCCTGAGAACCTGCGCTCTTGTCTGCGTCTCCGGGACCAGCCCCGCCCGGGAGGACCCCGGACACAGGCAGGGGCCGCAGGCAGGGGCAGGGGCCGCAGACAGGGGCCATAGGCAGTGGCCGCAGACAGGGGCAGGGGCCTCAGGCAGGGTCCACAGGCAGGGGCAGGGGCCGCAGGCAGGGGCCACAGATGGCCCTGCGGCAGCAGCCAGCGCAGACCTGGCTGAGTCTCAGGGTTCCATCTGCAGCCACAGCCGTAGCCACAGCCACAGCCACAGCGGGAGC